CAGATCCAGGCACAAAGGCAAGAGGGGCATTTCCCAGGTGGAGCCAGGGTCTCCGCATCAGCCCCCAGAACCCAGCACTGCTGGCTTCTAGGCCTGGAGGTGGCCAGGACCTCTCCATTCTCCTCCGCCTCCTCCTCGGCCCTACCATGGAGGGCAGCCCATGTCCCACAGGCAGCAGCCTCCCAAGAGGAAGAGCCACCACTTCCCTGTGACTCACAGCCTACAGGAGAGATTCTTCAGGCCCACGCCACGGGTGCCCACGGTCACCGTGGCTCTCAGCTCTCTTCTTACTGTCCCATCTGATGCCTGAAACAAGCCCCCTCGCCCCTGGCGAGTCTCACAGGACCTCTGAGAAGACAGTGGGGTGAGACACACAGAGGCACCATCAGAGTTATGCCCAGGACCCTTACGGCTGCCAGAGGGACCCCTGCTCTGGAAATGCACTAGATACTGCCAACACTGGCTCCAGGGTGGAGCACTGCAGCATGGCACCGCCAGCAGATGGGGATCTCACTGCCCTGAAGGGCTCAAGGGATGTTTCCATCTCTGACCCCATCGGATGCTGAGCCAGACCCAAAGCAGGAGAACATCTGAGAGAGGAACTGGGAGTCCAGCCCTAGATGGGGTCCAGGGGTGACCCTTGACTCGAGTCCTATAGTTCCCCATTCCCTGCCCCTATCATGGCTTCTGAGAGTACATGCTTCCTGAGGGCTGAGACCAGGGTGTGCCGCTCACCATCCATCCCATTCTCCATGTTGTACAAAGAACATTCTGCAGAAACACTGGCTGAGGGAAGGAAGGAATCCGTGAGTGAGGTCATTGACATTTGAGCTAAAATCAACCCCTGCCACCACTTCGGGGGGCACCAGAGCTTCTCCGTGCTCCCCATGTCCTCGTCACCCTCCACAAGGATTTCCAGGAACTTGGTCTGTGTTGCCCAGGACTTTCCCATCTTTGCAGAACATAGCCTTTTCCTTCTGAGGACACACGGCACGGCCATGATAAAGCTGTTCTTCACATTAAGCTAAATCTAATGCACTAAGACTCAGAGCCACGAAAGTTCAGACAAGACATAATTGTGTCGTTTGATTTGTTCAGCAAAGAGCAGGTCTGATTGAAAGGTTACCATCCTCTTAAAAAATATTCTGACAACAATTTTTTTGTATTTTAATGTTATCATTTTACCTTTTCAGGGAAAAGGGTTTCCATTTATCAGGGATGAGTCGATGCATCTGAAATCTGGGATTACTGCCTTTGACCTTTTCTTTATCGGCAGGTAGTAAACCGAAGGGGCAGATGACAGAAATGTAATTTGAGGATTACAGAATTTATGAGGAGCAGCCCACGGAGGGGGAAGGAGTGTGATCTGAGTGGGAGAGAAAGTGCAGAAAGGGGAAATGCAACAAAAACCATTTCCCAGGCACTCTGGCTTTGGGAAGGAAAATTCCAGTATTTGTGCCCCTTACAGTACCATCAGCATCATTACCACCACCACCAACATCGTCACCACCAATGTCATCACCCGCAGCAGCAGCACCAGCAGCACCATTGCCACCATAATTATCATTATCATCACCACCACTATCATCCACAAATCATTACCACCACCAACAACAACATCATCATCATCACCGTCACTATCTGCCTTATTATCTAAGGAAAGTGCCTGAGAATGGAACTCTGGGTAACTCACATACCTGTTGCTTCACACTCTCCTTCCCTCCAGAGCTGCAGATGTCTGGCTGCTGAGCTAAGGCCTCTTTCTTATCCTGTATTTGCAGCCACCCATCTGTGTGGTAGGTTAACTGGGTGTCCCCAAAAGGATGTGTTGAAGTCTTAACTCCTGGACATGTGAGTGTGATCTTATTTGCCCCATATGGGATGAACTTAAGACTAGACACATGCCTTACGGCGGCCCTCACCCAGTGACTGCTGGCTTCAGAAGAAAAGGGGAATTGGCAGCTAGATGTGGGGATACAAGAAGAAGGTCACAGAAAGACAGTCAAAGATTACAGGGAGGCAGCCACAAGCCAGGAGTGCTAGAACTGCCAGCAACAGCAGAGTCTGGAGAAGCAGGTGGGGTGGGTCCCCTACTCTATCCCCAGAGCCTTCAGGAGAAGCAGGACACTGTGGACCCCATCAGGGCTCCAGAACAGAGAGGCAAAACATTTGCATTGTTACAACAGGTCTGGGACATCCAGTTGACAGATATTGGCATGCCAGAGGTTCCTCTAGGGATGGAACACAGGAGAGCATGCATACACAGAGTCTCCTCTGGGGATGGAGCACAGGAGAGTATGCACACAGTCTCACCCCTTTGCCCACAGGTGCCAGGTACCAGATGTTCAATGTACCGGGATAAACTTAAGAAATGGGATCTTGAATTTTCTGGGCCACACAGCAGGGGTGAGAAACAGACATATGAGTACTCATGTGATTTGAGGTTATTCCTACCCTAAGAGGGAGAGGCTAGGTGAGTTGAGACTTAGAACAGTTATTCTCTCCAATGGGAAGACAGTTCTCCACACTCAACCCATCTTGGGGCCAATAAAGAGATGAGTCTTTGTACAGCAGATCTGTAGGTTCAGAGGCAATTGTTTACCAATTGTAGGATGACTCTTGTCAATTGGAGATAGCCACACATGACTTTCAAATGTAACATAACTTCAGGAAATAAAAGAAAAGCCACAGGTCTCTGCTTCCATCACCTGGATCAGGGAAAGGCAAGGTTTGACCCAATGCCTACTGGAATGCTGATCACCAGCTCATCCTCTCACCAGAATATATGCCAAACAGCTGCCTCAGAGCAGTCTTGGCTCAGCCAGAAGACTCCACCTCAGAAGAGAGTCCCACACTAGCAGAGTAGATACAGGCCAATATCAGAGCTCTGTTTGATGAGAAATACAAAGCACTAACTGAGAAATCTAGCTCAAAAGTGGTCACCAAGCAAATTCAAGCAGTCAGAGCCAAGCACCAATCAAGAAACATCAAAACTAGGCTGGCAAAGCACTTGCCTAGCAAGTATCCTGGGTTTGATCCCCAGTATCAAAAAAAAAAAAAAAAAGACAAAAAAAAACAAAGAAATATCAAAAACTTTATCTCAGAAGGAGGAAAAATCCCAAGAAAAAAACAGTCTGTGGAGCCAGGTTTCTGTCAGCTCAGCCCCCCACTCAGTGTGGATTATCATTGTGTGAATTACCACTAGGTGCAGATCCATGCTCCATACAGACCCCCACTTAGCACAGGTCCACTCCACTCCATGCAGATCCATGCTTCATGCAGATCCATGCTCTGGGCAGATCCCCTCTCAGCACAGGTCTCTACTACACACAACCTGCCAAATGGCACAACTTGCTGTCCTGAAGGTCTTGCAAACTCATTTCCTTAGGGACAGGAAATTAGTTTTCAAGAACTTCAGGACTTCCTTGATAGGTATCAAGGAAGAAAAAAAGCAGATAATTAAGGGTGTAGTAAATGTATTTAATAGAATTATAGATGGAGACTCCCAAATACTCAAAAAGAAAAGTCCATTTCAGTGCAAGAAGACTAGAGGACTTTAGCACACCCAATAGACCAGACCAGAAAAGAACTTCCCATTGCCACATCATGATCTAAACTGGTTTCATAGAAAACAAGGAGGGATACTTAAAGTTGTCAGAGAGAAAAGATGTATTATCTATAAAGGAAAACCAGTCAGAATAGCTGCAAATTTCTGAGCTGAAACTCTAAAAACAGGGAGGGATTAACATGATGTATCCTAAGCATTGAATATTGTATCCACCCAAACTTTCATTCATAACTGAAAGGTAAATAAAAACATTCCAAGCTAAACAAAAACTAAAACAATTTATTGCCACCATACCAGCACTACAGAAGATACTCAAAGACATCCTACATACAGAAAAGCACCTTGAACATGAAATAGACAGTGAAAACAGATATTATCAGAAAAGTAGGTAGATATGGTAAGAACAGAAGAGATATAACCCCTAAAATAGTGGAGGGGGATGACAGAGATTCTCAGGTCTAACATTTAATATCAATGGGCTCAATTCTCCAATCAAAAGACGTGAGGTGGCTTGTTGAGTCAAAAGGCAAAAACCAATCCATCTTCTACTTATAAGAAACACACCTAACTGACAAAAACAAATATCTACTCAAGGTGAAAGGCTAGAACAAAGTCTTTCAATTAAATGGCTCTCATAAACAGGTGTAAGTAGCAATACTAATGTCAGATAAAACAAACTTCAAATTAAAATTATTAAAAAGAGACAAAGAAGGGCATTACATACTAATAAAGATAACTCACCATCAAGAGGACATAACAATTCTAAAAATCTATGCACCAAATGCTAGAGATCCAAACTTCATCAAACAAATACTAATTGATCTAGTATCATACTAGATCCAAATAAATTGATCCTTGTTGACTTCCACACACCATTTGGATAGCATCTAGGCAAAAACTCAGCAAAGAAGCTTCAGAGTTAAATAACTGCATTGATCAGCTAGACCTAATAGACATCTATAGTACATTCTACCGATCAGCATCACAACATACATTCTTCTTGGCGGCCCATGGAACAGTCTCCAAAGTAGACCACATCCTAGGTTACAAAGCAAATCTCTGCAAACTCAAGAAAATCGAAATTACTCCCTGTATCCTGTCAGACCACAATGGTATAAAATTAGAGATCAACAACAAAAGCCATCACAGAAAGTCCCAAACTGATGGAAAGTGAACACCACAGAGGGTCATCAAAGAGATAAGAAGGGAAATTCAAACCTTTCTGGAATTCAATATAAATGAACACATGAAGTATCAGATCCTCTTGGACACAGCAAAGGCAGTATTCAAAGGACAGTTTATATATGAGTGTCTGTATCAACAAACTAAAGAAACTCAAATCAATATCTAATTATGCCCCTTAAGCTCCTAGCAAATCAGGGGCAGGTAAAACCCCAAAAACTGGATGGAAAAAAATAATAAAAATTATATTTTGCTCATTTCAGCAGCACATATACTAAAATTGGAATGATACAGAGAAGATTAGCATGGCCCCTGCATAAGATGACACTCAAATTCATGAAGCATTCCATATTTTTATGTAACTGTAACCCCTCTGAAAATCACCTTGACTATAAAAAATTATATCAAAAATGAATAAATTAAAGACTAAAAAAATACAGAGACACAACAAAACAAAAAGTTGGTTCTTTGAAAAAATTAACAAAATTGATAGGCTCTCAGCAAACTTGATAAGAGAAATCACCCAAATATATAAAATTAGGGATGAAAGGGGGAAAACATCACAACACAAACAAGCAAAATTCAAAATATTATAAAGGAATATTTTGCAAATCTCTAGGCCAATAAATTAGAGAATCTAGCAGAAATGAATGCATTCCTAAAGAACATCAATATGCATAAACTGAGCCAAGAAGATATAAACTAATTAAGTACATCCATAACAAACAATTAAATTGAATGGTAATTAAAGGCCTTTCATCCAAGAAAAGCCCAGAACCTTATGGATTTACAGCCAAATTCTATAAGACCTTCAAAGAGGAACTAAAACCAATATACTTCAAATCTTTTTAATAAAATAGAGGGAGGTATCACTACCAAACTCACTTATGAAGCCAGTATTACACTCACCCCAAAACCAGACTGGGACCCATCAAAAAAAGAGAACTATAGGCCTACTTAGATGCAAAATTTCTCAAAATTCTTGCCAACCAAACTCAACAACTAACAAAAAAGTTATACACTATGATCAGACACGATTTAATCCCAAGGATGCAAAGCTGATTTAACATCCATAAACCAATGAACACGTATACATCATCAGAAATAAGAACAAAAATTGCATAATCATCTCAATAGATATAGCAAAAGCTCTTGAAAAGATACAACATCCTTTTTTATGATAAAAGCACTGGAGAAATTAGGAATACATGGAACATTCCTCAATATAATAAAGTTTGTTTATGACAAACCTACAGCCAACATCATACTTAATGGTGAAAAGCGAAAATCATTTTCTTTAAAATCAGTAATGAGAAAAGCATGTCCACTCTCCACTCCTCTTCAACAGAGTACTGGAAGCAATAATGCAAGAGAAAGACAAAAAGGGGATCCAAAAAGGGAAGGAAGAAGTAAAATTATCCCTCTGTAGATGACATGATCCTATATTTATAGGACCCTATAGACTCCTCCCCCAAGCTATCAGAGCTAATGCAAAACTTTGGTAAAGTAAGAAGGTAAAAAATCAATGTAAAAAACTCAGTACCTTTCCTGTGTACCAACAATGAGAAGATTACAACTGAAATCAGGAAAGCAACTCCATGTGTAATAGTCTCTCTCTCACACACACATACACACACACAAAAACCCCTAGGAATTAATGAAGAAGGCAAAGGATTTCTACAGTGACAAGACAGATTTCCTTAAAGAAGGAAATTGAACAAGTCATAAGGAAATGAAAAGACCTTCCATGCTCCTGGACTGGCAGAATTAGTATCATGAAAATGGCAAGACTGTCCAAAGCAATCTACAAATTCAATGCAATATCCATTAAAATCCCAACAACATTTTCCAATGAGAAATAGAAAACAATCTAACAATTCATAAAAGGCTCAAAACCACAAAACGATCCTTAGCAGAAAGAGCAGTGCTAGATATATAACACCACCAAACTTCAAACTCTACTACAGAGCCATAGTTATGAAAACAACTTGGTACTGACCCCACAAACTGGCTTGAAGACCAATGGGACAAAATAGAAGATCCAGAAATAACCCCATCAAGCTATAACCATCTAATATTTGATAAAGGACCCAAGAACATACAGTGGAAAACAGGTGGCCTCTTCACCAAATGATGCTGGGAAAACTGGATACCCACATGTAGAAAACTGAAAGCAGACCCTTGTCTATCACCTTGCACCAGCATCAATTCAGATTGTGAAACTATGACAGGAAAGAGTGGGATTAAGAAGAGTGACGGATGAAGTGGGAGGAGAAGGGATGAATAAGAATGTTAAAGAGGTTGACATTGATCAAGATGCATTGTACTCATAAACTGCTTTGTTAAGTGGCAACTCCTTTGTACAACTACTTAAAGACAATTTAAAAATTGCATTAAAAAGGATAAATAGCTCAAAGGTTTCCAATGTATAGTGTATTTTCTCAAGGCTTCATTTAAATATTTTAAATCAAAAGAGGGAATGGGCTGTTGTGTTTCTCCTCCCATATCTCATTAAATAAAATATGTGGGCAGATTCATGGTCTCACTTGATTGGGTCACAGTTTCTTTCTTCCCACTGAGATTCACTCTATTGTCAATTGGGAACTTGCTCGACTGAGAGTCCACAATTCAAGGGCTGGTCCAGGAGAGTGTCAAGCATTATGGAGGAGTTTGTCCTTCAACCAGGGTTCACAGGAGAAATAGTGGCATACCTCTTAGGGGATACTTTACTGATTAAAATACATATACACATCTATGACGTACTAGACACACTCTGTCTGTGGACTTCAGGCAAATGTGGGAACCAAGGAAGTCCTGTCCTCTGGAGCTTGCTCTGCCCTATTACGATCCTCAGGGTGAAAGGGGGCGGAGGAACAAAGCTCTAAACTTCATATACAAACTCTCCTCAATTAATACCCATCCAGTCATTTGCATATTACAAACCATAAAACGAATGTCATGCGACATCTTTTCAGCTGCTCAGAATCGGGAGCAGCAAGCGATCCTCAGCCTTGATGTCTTTCGAAGTCTGTGAAGCAGGACTAGTAATTAGGCCTTTGTCGGGAGGAGGCAGGGGTGGGTTTGGTGGGTCCTGTTATCTCCTTTGAACAGGTAATATATGCACAAGGAGAGGATTACAATAAAGCCAGAGGAGAGTCGGGAAGAGGAAGTGTCTTGCATATTATTCCCAAGTCAGGCTTGTATCTGTGAGCGATACGTTAGTGTGTGAGTGTCTTCAATACAAAAGCAGCAGCATGTCAAAGAATATTACAGCTGTGTTTTATTTATCTGGTGCCACACTCTGAAGATGGCCCTTATCAATATGTCTGGATCTGCATCCTTCTTTCCAGGCCACAGCACAACCCATGGTAAGGAGGCCCTGAAGGACTAGAGCCAGCTGCCTCTTGGTGGCCATGCATGCATGAGTGAGTGAGTGTGTGTATGTGTGTCTAGTGTGTGTGTGTGTGTGTGTGTCCATTGTGTGGTCCAGCAACTATTCTTGCTCTCGGGCCTTGCCGAGCTGGCTCAGATGTTTATCATCACTCACAGATGAAGACTACTTGCTCAAACACATAATGCACACATCTAAAATGTTGGTCGATGTCCACAAACTGCACCCCCAATGTCATTCCATCTTACTGTGCCTTTGTGAGAAAAAGTTTTCTCCGCAGAGGTGGCGAATAGATTAAAAGGGGGTGCTCACTCCAGGAGGTTTCCTTGCACAGGTGTGGACTCTCATCTTTGCACGCGTTGAGGGCCACATCCTTTCCTGTGACTCACAGGGCGCGTCTTGGTGTGACAGCCTGAAGAGATTGATTCTGTCCTCTTTCCTCCAGCCGCCACAGCTCACTGCCCACCCGTCACCTGTGCTCCTGTCTATGTCCACACATAGGAATGTTTTGAAAGCAAATAGAGCCAAATACTGTTGTTACCATTGTGCCATCCCCAGAAGCGCCAAATAATACCTGCTATCTTTCAAGATCAATGTATGAGCTCAAATGTCTGGAAATGTCACATCAGCCCGCTAGGAGACATTGGGCAGGCCAGCAGAGAGAGATGAAAGGGCAGTGGGGTTCTGGGGCTGGCAGCTGTGGGCTGCTGGCTGGGCTAACAGGTGCCTGGGAAGGAGCTGCTGGGCCCCAGAACCTGAACCTAAAACCCATGCCCCACTGGGCAGAGCCCAAAGGCATGAGAGAAGCCCACAAAGTGGGAGTTTCTTCCCGGCAGCCTAGCCACAGACCACAATCTAGCCTATTGGTGGACACAGGGAAGTCCTCTCCCACCTACACAGTCCTAAAGCTCTACTGTGGCAGCTGGGCCTTCCTGGCTTGCTCTCAGGTAAGAATAAAATGACTCAAAACACACGCGTGCACGCACACAGGCACACGCACACACATGAAGACCAATATATGTCAACCTTGATTGGCCACCTACAACAATTGTATCAACATCCAATAGCCAATTGCAATAAATGCACCTCTGCCTAACGTATGAAGTCAGGACATCAGCACTAGAGGAGGCAACACAGAGACACACATGAGAACACCCCATACTTCCTGTGACACTTAAAGCTGTTCTAGAAAAAAAATTTTAAATGTAGTGTCCTCTGGACCCATGCTGGCCTGAGCTACCTCCTTCAGGAAATGTGGCCTGACCCAGCCCATAGCGTCTAGCACAGAGGTACAAAGGCAACCTGAAACTACATTCACACTGGGTTGGTCCGATGGTCAGCTTTCACTGGGACGCTGACACACACGAGTGCACAAATGCTTGAGGCCACATGGTCTCCATCTTACAGGACCCATGGCACAGGACCCAGGCCCAAGACCTCACCTTTATCTTTGTAACATGTCATCTAATGAGCATTGATCCTGTCATGCAAGCCTGTCAGGGCTGTTTTAAATCCTGCCTCTACACCCAAATCCTTCTCCTACTTGCAGCTATCACAGGAAGCCAGGTAGGAAAAGGATTAGAAGTGTGGACTCAGGCCAGAGCTCCTGAGGTCTAATAGGGAGCTGCACGAGATGAGCTGTATGACCTGACATAAGTTACTTGGCCTCTCTGTGCCTCCCTTCGTAGGGCTGTGTGAACGTTAGATGGCAGAGCAATACAGAGTATTAGAGGAGGACTTGGCTCTCAGGGGGAAGGAGGAGGAGGAGCAGGAGGAGGTGGTCGAAGTGGTGGAGGAGGAAGAAAAGAAAAGAGAAACTCAAGTCTATTCCTGTAATTAAGTCACTGAAGAAAATCTATCCTCAAAAGAAGGCTGGAGTTGGAGGCCCAGGGCTCCTAGCCTGCGATATCCCCACACAATCAGCCGGTCTCAGCCCTCAGACACCATGGTCCTCCATAGGATTCC